CTTCTCTTTTATCATCTGCTAGACACTCTTATTAGGAATTCGGTCTGGCAAATTGCCTTGCCAGTCCAACACTTCTATCACATTATTCCTGAATGTTTGGCAGGCAACAGTCTTCGGAAGGGACACCATTTTGCACAGAAAATTGATACTCATAGTTTGCATAATATGGGAGATGACCTATCAAAATTGAACGTAATTATTCCCATGCATTGTTGTGTACTTTCTGTAGGAAATATAAGCCTGCCCTTCCCTTATTTCCAGTCAATGGCCCCTAGTCATAATATTATTCGAGTCTTGCACTTAGTACCATGCACTTACTGTAAAAACAATGCTCCTGGAGGCCTGCAAATGACCCTTGTGGTGCACACAACTAGCCTGAAGGTACTTGGGGGGGGTACAATGTTCTTCATGCTCCAATGGGGGGGACAGAATATAATGTCTTTCACAGGAGCTGAGAGAGTGAATTTTTTTGCTGCTACATGTGTTGAGATGTAACCAAAGTTAAATAGCATGGATGCTGACATTCTGGAAGAGTTCAGGCTGCTTCTTTTTCATGTCGACAGTAATAATCCAGGGGACATTATATCATACCATAAGATGCAATAAGTCCTTAGAGAAGTCTTCCTTTTGGCACTATACCAGGCTTTTTATTGGGAGCTATAATTGCCACAAACTTAGCAACTGCCCTTTTCATATGAGAAACTGTCTAACAAGCACAAGTCTTGTCAGCTGCTACATGAATTATGCCAACTCTAGACTACAACCAGGATTAAATTTTTTTTTCTCATTTGTCAGATACTTTTGTTTTACTACACATACTGACACACAAGTTCAAGAGCTCTCAAAATATGATCTTGAAGTAGGGGTTGGTAGGTGCTATGTGAAGTGCAGCATTGAATTTACATCTTATGAGAAACAAAATGTTGTAGTTTATTACTGTATGCACTCTACAGTCAGTGGGCTAGGCTGAGAAAATGCTGCCCAGTATGATTCCTTCCACTTTTCTTGCTCTATAATTTGATGATGTACTGCTTTTAAAAACAAGAAGAACAATTTTTAATACATTCTTTGCGGAACAACTGCTTTTGTGGTGGCTATTAGAAGACTGTCCTTATAATAAGTATTATTGTAAGAAAGCCATTAAGCATCTTTCTAGAAGTTTCCTTCTTTAAAAGTACAATATACTAAGATATCTTTCCTGCTTAATAAGTACTTTTTAACTGCTAAACTGTCCCTGAAAATTACTTACTTCAGTTTACTTAAAAGTTATGTGCTGATTATCATTATGGCCACTTTTAGTTCATAATTAAGACCAAATATATCACAAATGGCACATAAATTCATAGAGAAAGAAAATAATATATCCTACTTACCAATACACCAAAAGCATCAATGATATCAGTATATATGGATGGCCATTATATTGAGTACAAACTCTTTCTTAGCACTTACATATTATCACTGTTGTTGTCAATTTGCTCTGAGTGGTCATTTGCTCTGAGTGGAGCCATACCAATCAATTTTTGTACAATAACAAGAGCAAGTCTTTCGTGTTTCCTATGCCTCCTTGTGTAAAATGTAAAGACCTGTCTTTTTGTCAATATGAAAGACAGAATACAGTAAGAGCAATTCATCAATGCAAGATTTACTTTATATTAGTGATGTCACTAATGCTGACCTTTTAGTATGAATTACAAAAGGATAATAAGGATATTTATAGGAGTTGCCATACATTACTTGTATGGGTAAAAAAGAGTATATGTAGCTAATTATAAATTGTGAATTTGTAACATGGATGCCAGATGTTGTAACTGAAATTTTGTCTCTAAAAAAAAACGTGGAGCCCTTGCAGATCTGGCAAATGGATGTCAAATAAATTCATGAATCTAAATATTATCTTCCAAGAATATACAAGCTAAATGTTGTTAGCCCTTAGCCAGACTGCTAAACATGGACCCCAAAACAACCCCTTGACCTAAGGAGAACTCTTCATGAAATTTGTTCCACTAAATACAATAAATTATGTATGGAAGCACTCTTCTTGACAAAAAATCTGAGGGTAAGATACATTCAGGGAAAACAGATGTCGAAATGCAAATCTAAATAAATAACATAGAGAAAGAAAATAATATATCCTACTTACCAATACAACAAAAGCATCAATGATATCAGTATATATGGATGGCCATTATATTGAGTACAAACTCTTTCTTAGCACTTACATATTATCACTGTTGTTGTCAATTTGCTCTGAGTGGTGATTCCAAACCAATCAATTTTTGTACAATAACAAGAGCAAGTCTTTCGTGTTTCCTATGCCTCCTTGTGTAAAATGTAAAGACCTGTCTTTTTGTCAATATGAAAGACAGAATACAGTAAGAGCAATTCATCAATGCAAGATTTACTTTATATTAGTGATGTCACTAATGCTGACCTTTTAGTAGGAATTACAAAAGGATAATAAAGATATTTATAGGAGTTGCCATGCATTACTTATATGGTAAAAAGAGTATATGTAGCTAATTATAAATCGTGAATTTGTAACATGGATGCCAGATGTTGTAACTGAATTTTGTCTCTACAAAAACGTGGAGCCCTTGCAGATCCGGCAAATGGATGTCAAATAATTCATGAATCTAAATATCATCTTCCCAGAATATACAAGTAAAATGCTTGTTAGCCCTTAGCCAGACTGCTAAACATGGACCCCGAAACAACTCCTTGTCACTAAGGAGAACTCTTCATGAAATTTGTTCCACTAAATTCAATAAATTATGTATGGAAGCACTCTTCTTGACAAAAAAAATCTGAGGGTAAGATACATTCAGGGAAAATAGATGTCGAAATGCAAATCTAAATAAATATAATAACATTCACAAAAATACAAAATCATTGCATTAATCATGAAACACCCATATGCATATACACTCCCTTACAAAGGTTAATTATCATCCTATATATACACCAGCTGGATTGAGCATAGTCGATTCCACAAAGAGAGCTAGTGTGTGGTTTGTACTTTCTTCAAAAGGACAAGTGTCTATGTAACAGCTACACTACTTTCATAAAATGATCATAAAGTTACTTGGTCAAATGATATGGAGCAGTTACTTACTCCAGTAAGAGTAATTTGATCGTGTCAGTCTGGTGATATTTTATGATCTCTCACTTGTTATTCTTGGAAATATATAACTAAGTTATGATCATGATATCATATGAATATCTACAGTTACCAGAGGTTTATAAAAGCATTAAGTAATTCCTTACAATCATACTCAGGACATATATGGTACATCATGAACTGCGTATCTGTTTGTTATACAATATCAAATATCTGCTTTTGAGTGTTTTTGTCCTCTTATTATAGGAATAAAGTGTGAATACGCAATGAATTCATAAGGAAAACGATTGCATAGAAAAATGTAGACATAAACAAACAACTCTGGCTGCAGAAGGTTGATTTTGACTTTTTTCCATTTAAAGGTAAATATAAGTCTGGCACAACTTATATTATGTTCCATCCCACTCTATTTTTTCCGCTTTATAAGATGGCGGTGTCCATTTCTCTCTATCTACGCGCGTCCATCTCCGTAATCTCTGCCAAGCTTTCCATTCAAGATCCTAAGTGTCTGAATATGAGCATAACTGGAATAAAAAATAATAATTTCAAGACTGGATAGCTGTGTGAAACAAAAAATTATGTTTCTTTCCTCTGCAACAGTGGCAACTACTGTGAAATTATAGGATATACTAAACAACACTTTGACCGGCTGCCGGCTGACATGGTGCAACAGAATTACATAATGTTAATGATAATATCTGAACTGATGTTCATTTTGGAGAAACATACAAGAAATGTGCTTTATCTTCGTACTATCATATCCATAAATATCTTTACCTCTTACATGAATGAAGCCTTATGACGAAAAATATACAAAAACGGGAGTCGAATCTACATCATATTTATTTGCCGAGAACAAATGGCAAGCATTTAACAATAAAACATCATCATATAGACTATTTATCGATTCCTTCAATACATCATCCGCTTCTCTAATTAATCCCCTTTACCATTAATAAGGAAATTAAATTTCAACCTACCTGTCACAAGCGTCTCTGAAATTTGTTGTGTAAACAGGCGGTAAGCCTTAGAGGATACCCTAAAAATTTGTTTTTATTATCATTATTATTATTATCATTTTTACATCTATTATTCATCAGTTTATCAATTTTCTGTCTATATTTTTATGTGTGTGTGTGTATGTGGGGGGGGGGTTGCGTGCGTGCGTTTGTGCGCATGTGTGCGTGCGTGTGCGTGTGTGAAAAGAAATTTGGATCCAATGCTGACCCCTCCAGTAGTGAGTACTCAACTAGTTATGCGTCATGTCAAAGAGGAACCACACAGCCCACTTATAACTAGGCATTTTTACTTAATTCATGTGCGGGCTGTCAGCTTTTCCGAAGCAACACCTTTTCATATGATAAAGAAAAAGGTTATAAATAATAATATCGGACCATATACTATCATAAACGGAGGAATATTAGATTACACTTACAGTGCGTACGATCAATGTCTGGTGATTAAAAGATCCCCTGCTTTACTTTCTTGATAAAACAATATGCAATAAATACATTACTAAGCCAATACTGTAACATTCAACAACATAAAATGCACCAGCATTTCTTATAGAAAATGTATTAGATGTATAACTTAAGAAATGCGAAACTGAACCTGTAAACTTGATCTATCTAAAAAGTTTACGGCTATTCATAGTGGGTGTGTTGTAGGACTGAAGATTTAGTCACTCAATCGGACTGTGGCTCTGCCTTTGATGATGCCCAACTAGGAGACCTGCTGAAGTGACATCGGATGAAATTTCCGTTGGGATGACCTTCGGCCTGCCATATCATATCAGTTCATACCAGGATGGTTTCAACAAATTTCATGCTTAATTTATTTAAACAAGGGAAAATATCTCAATATTGTTTTGAACACCTTTCTTTTGCATCAAAACATCTGTAGTCATACAAAATAACAAAAATACGGCTTTCGGGGGAAAAAAATCCGTAGTGGCATCACCATCCGTCGGTCGTTTTTTGTTTCAGTTTTGCAGACGAATTTCCGTAGATTTCCAACCCTGTTCATGTTATGTAGATAAAACATGTTTAAAATATTTGTTTTATCAAAATCATGCACTTTGATTTTTTTTTTTTTTTTTTTTTTTTTTTTACAGAAACACGCGCCGTCTGCCAATTCGGATCTGAAAGACACTAGGCCTATCCAAAGCTCTACCTCAAGATATTAGTTCCAATGACGTGAGTTCTGTTCCTTTACATATTACACACAATAACCAGAACATGGCGTGGAGCAGCGAGGGTTCGAATCGTTTCACTACCCAAAATATCATACGAGATTTCCGGGATTTCCGAGATCCCAATTTTTTGACCTAGATTTCCAGATCTGCAGACAGATTTGCCAGTGATTTCCGAATTTTGAGGAATTTCCAAACTTTTAAAGGCATTTAAAAAACATTAAATCATCGTACACTTTTCAAAAACTAAGCGGTTACCTTACAGGCTCCACAGAAAATGTACTACTTGCCATAAAACATGATTCTGCTCAAGGTTATTGTAACGTTCAGACAAAAATTCTCGTTTTCGTTTTCGTCATCATCTGATTGCTTAACTTCGGGATTAACTCAACGAATATCGTTTAAACCAATTCACTTCCGGGAATAATCAGAATTACTTGGAAATTTAAGCCTAGTAAAAGAGGAATCCTGTTTCTGAAAAAAAAAAATGTGATTCATAAAGTCATCTGACCTTGCAGCTACATTCATTACTGCCTGTGCTGCTATTTCTTTATTTGTTTTACCAATAGACCGTGCTTAAGCCTTATTGCTTGACCTGCGTTTTTCCAGTATTTATTGTTTTACTTTGATAAAAACCTGATCCCCCCCCCCAAAAAAAAGGATTCCGTAGTACTGGTAGGTATTAAAAATTCTCTGTGTACCCAACAGGCCAATCAAATCGCTTGAAACTTGGCACACAGGTCACATTTAACTACGAAACCGTGTTAGCGTTTCCATATAAATCCACTTGCTCGACTTTTACAAATGTTTAAAGGTTTTTAAAAAAGCATTTCAGACATTAATATTAACCTAATTTGGCTTTACTTTAGGGCAGCACGTTTTAAAAAAGTTCAGAACCCTAATTTTGTTCGATTGGGTACACAGACTTTTTCGCAGCGGTGGTCGGTTGGGCATAAAAGCTGGCAATAATCATTTGTGCTGTTATTGACAGTTGAGTATATTTTCATGTTTAATCCTGCGACTGCTCGAGTTTGTGTTTATTAATCGGACTCCATGGCAACTATGGAAAAGCTCCTGCGCAGGGGCCTCAGCACTCTGCCCTGCGGCTGGTCAGGTGTTTGTCGAAGTTTATGAGAATTTGCGAGATTTTAGAATTCTTGGGATTTCCTGGAGATTTACGGATTTCCAAAGAATTTCTTAAGGATTTTTTCTTTCTTTCAGCGATATTGAGAGTTCGTCTTTTGGGGCCAGTCTAGAGTCAATCGACATATCGGACAAAAGCCAGGGTGTTTATATATATATATATATATATATATATATATATATATATATATATATATGTATGTATGTATGTATGTATGTATGAATATATGTGTGTGTGTGTGTGTGTGTGTGTGTGTGTGTGTGTGTGTGTATGTATGTATGTATGAATATATGGGGGTGGATGTGGATATATGTACATATGTATACAAAATCATATGTTCACTTTTCTGCACTGACATTTGATTATGAAATTGATAACAGTCGAAGGGTTTGCTAATGCACAATTCACGCTCAACAAGTACCATTCGCTCCCATACAATACACATCTTAAGGCCACGGACTAGAGGAACACAACTCATGACGTCACTACCGGGTTGGTAGAGCCACTGGTTCTGTTTCAGTTTTTTGTTTTCATAGAATAAGCAATTTCATAAGGCAGCAAATAATACACGAATAGATTTTTATGCGACTCATTTCTGAGTGAACTTAGGGACATAAAAAATAATATACAAAAAGAAAAAGAGAAAAAAAAATGTGTGTGAATGTGTCTGTAAATATATATATATATATATATATATATATATATATATATATATAATATATATATATATATATATGTATATGTGTATATATATGTATGTATACACACACATACACACATACATACACACACACACACACACAACACACACACACACACACACACACACATATTTATATATATATATATTATAATATATATACTACAATATATATATATACATGTGTATATATATATTTATATATTATAAATATTTGTATAGTAATTATATATAATATATATTATATATATATGTGTGTGTGTGTGTGTGTGTGTGTGAAATACATACATATATACATATAGTATATATATATATATATTATATATATATATATATATATATATATATATATATAATATATATATATATATAGTATAAGTATATGTGTAATACATGTATGTACACATACACACACACACACACACACACACACACATATATACCATATATATATATATATATATATATGTATATATATATATATATATATATATATATATATATATTTATATATATTATATAAATATATGTGTATATACTATATATGTATGTGTAGTTTATGTGTAATACATACATATATATATATATATATAATATATATATATATATATATATATATATATGTAGTGTGTGTGTGTGTGTGTGTGTGTGTGTGTGTGTGTATAATATATATATGTACGAATTATTTATATTATCTGTATATATATATATATATATGTATATGTATGTGTGTGTGTGTGTGTGTGTGTGTGTGTGTGTGTGTATACATGATAGATGTATATACATATATATACACATACAGGTATATACATATATGTATATGTTTATATATACAGATATAAACATATACTGACACATATATCATATGTATCAGTATGTATGTGTGTATGTGTGCGTATATGTGTGTATCATACATATATATATATGTGTATGTGTGAATATATACATATGTATAGTATACATACATACATGTGTGTGTGTGTTTTCATGTATGTATTCATATACATACATACATACATACTTACCCCTACACACGCACACGCACACGCACATATCGAGGGCATCGTCAGTTAAAACATCCAAATCCGCAACGGTCGCCATGGCCGAGTGGATAAAGTACTCGACTCGCATTATCAGGGATTTGGGGAATTGTGGGTTCTGTTTGGTCTCCTGATTTGGATTTCGGTTTTAATCTTTCTACTCCTTCCTTTGAAAATTGTCAAGATCTTGGACACTGCATGTCTCTATCCTCATTTTGTTTTGTTTCTCCGTTTGTTAATTCTTTTTATTATTGCGTTTACACGATTACATCTCTTGTATATTTGCTCCCCCTTTCTTTTATTAACTTCAGTATTTTTCTTGTAATCGAGTTTTTTTCCTTTCGTTATTGCATGATCACTTTTTCCCAATGGAGGCCAGTTTTCTGTATCCTTTATGTTATTTTTTTCAGAATATTTGGCTATCTAGGTCCTTTTCCTATGGTATGTATTATTTGGCTGCCTAGGCCCTATTCTTCTGATGTTCTATATCTTTTAAAATGGCAAAAACTGAACTATTAGTAGTATGAGCTTTGTGATCTTTCTTCGCCGAATGTGTTGTTCATATCCATTAAGATAATTCCTTTTGTATTGTTGCTCAAAAGCTGTGCCTCCTCCAGTACACGATAGGGCGAAATGCCCCAATATCTGCAGTAGACCAAATGAGTTTGATCAGGTTTCGGTAAAACAGTTAAAAAATGAATGCATATGTTTCAGCATCGGTTCAGTCTCATGTTAGACTAAAATCTACGCATCGGTCGGAAGAATCTCACGCAGTGGAATCTTTTCTTCTGTAACTTACCAGTATAAGTGTGTGTGAGTGTTATATATATATATATATATATATATATATATATATATATATATATATATATATATATGTATGTATATATATATATATATATATAATATATATATATATCCTATATATCTCGACCTTAGCACTAGCCCGACAGTCACTGCCTAGTAAAACCAGCCGCGGACTAGTAAAATGCACGACTTAGCCAGCCCGGCGGACTAGTAAAATGTAGACAGTAACAAGTTCCACCCCAAGCAGAGAGTCGACCTAGAACTTTTTTGAGTAAGAAGTTAGAATACATTTATTGATGATCTCAATCTAACTCAGTGAGCCAGTGTTTGATTAAGCTTTTGTTAAATTCAATACTTGTGCTAGTAAAACCTGTTGCGGGCTAGTAAAAAAACTCAATTTACAAGCCCAATGCGCTAGTCAAGAAAATCTGTGTTAATGTGTGTGTGCATATATATATATATATATATATATATATATATATATATATATATATATATATATATATATATATATATATATATATATATATATGTATGTATGTATGTATGTATGTATGTATATGTATATATGTGATGCCCACTTTTTCACAGAAGGGAAGGAATGAGACTCGTGAGCCGCTACAGTACATTTCTTGCGAAGCCGCCAGCGATTACAGCAGTCGTGCAGGGGTCAGTCAGACACAGAACACACATAACACAGAGTCCGCAGGAAAACAAGTGAATAACGGATTCCGCGGAGGCAAGGGAAAGGAAAAGAAAGACAAATGAATGAAGGAATCCGCTAAACAAATGAATTGCAGATTTTGGAGTTGTGAGGGAAAGAGAAAACAGATTGATTACATTCTCTTTCCCTCCTTTTCCCCTTTTCACAATACTTAGCTAATAATTTATTCAGTTTTAGATATGCCAGTTTTTTTTATCTTCTTGTAGTGCTGGAATTCCCGTTAATTTCTCGGAAGCTCTGTAGGTAGATTGTATAAATTTCTTTGGTACATGTTTTTTTTTCAATAATATATAATGATCAGTATATCCTGAATGCCCACTGTTTTCATAGAAGAAAGACATATGATAATAGGATCTTTAAAAAATACTGAAAATCATCGGGCATTCAACATACTTTACAGGCGGTGCCACCATGAAATAGTTCCATGCAAGGCCGCATACAATTGTGAAAAGCTTGGAGTATATTGATGCACATATTTTCGTATACATCTGAAAATAGACACTGAAGCCTTCGAGAAAAATAGATAAAATGCTTACATTCAGGAAATATACATATTTTTCGATCCTCACTTTTCCCATTTTCGAAAACCCGTCTCATCAGAATTAAGGACAGGACGAGAAAACGGATGCCTGATGGACTTGAAAACAAAAGAAATGCAAAGAGCGAAAAAGTCTCAAAAGGTCGCCATTCCCTTCGCTCGAAATCTCTTCTCTCAGCCATGAATCGAAGCCTTTCGCGTTTCCTCCTGTTTTTTTAAGCCTCCTCCTCTTCTTATTCGTTATCTTCTCTTTATTCTCCCCATTTACTTCCTCCTCTTCCCTGTCTCCATCATCCTCACCAGGAGTCCTAGGTAGTTAGTGAAGCGGTGGTGGCAGTCCAGGGAGTCGCGGCACCCACTCAAGGGCATGTCCAGCCTGGGGCCGTCGGGACCTGCAGAAGGAGGTGGCGTTGAGAGCCCTCGGTCAAGAGGAACTAGGCTCAATTACAGTAATGTCAACAGCCGGTTGGAACAAGGCCGTTGCGTGTTAGAGATGTGGTGAAAAGGGGCTTAGACATTTTGATGATGCTCTGCCAGGACGAAGGAGGCTGGGATGTGGTGATAGTTGCATAGTTATGAGAATGCCAACGGCCGGGTGGTGAAAAAAGGCTTTAGTCATTATGGTGATACCAACGGTTTAGAAGATCTAGGTTGTTGAATGTTACAAATGTAGTGAAAGAGGCTTTGGTGAATAACGGATTCCGCGGAGGCAAAGAAAAGGAAAAGAAAGACAAATGAATTGCAGATTTTGGAGTTGTGAGGGAAAAAGAAAACAGATTGGCTACAATTCTTTTCCCCTCCTTTTACCAACGGTTTAGAAGATTTAGGTTGTTGGATGTTAGAAATGTAGTGAAAGAGGCTTTAGTCGTTAAGGTGATGCTAACGGTGCTTAAGATATGGGGTAAAATGGATGTGATGATGATGGGAATACAGGAATTCAGTATGTAACGTGTGGGGAAAAATTGAATGAAACGCAGCTACAGAATGAGGACAAGCAACAAACCCGCGACTTTCCAATATGAATGGATTCTTTTTCAGACAGTAACACCAAAGGATAGCAAAAGAAAATGGTGATGGATATGCTGGTAGCGACTGCAGCATTTGTAATAGTTTTGATGAGATTTATTGGTTTAAAGGCAGCAGTCGTAAAACACAATGCAGTGGGACAGCGCAGGGCAGGACAGAGGGCATGATGGGTTTAGTATTCATCAAGGGCGTGGAAAGAAAGTGATAACGAGTAATGACCGAGAAACAAAACTAGAGCGAATTAGAAAGCGAGAGAGGAGAGGGACAAGAACGAACATGGAATAACCGGGGAACAAATACAAAAATAACGTAGATTTGAAGGCTAAGAAAAAAAAAAATAATAAGCACAGGCGAGAAGCGAAGGACTCCCTCACCGTCGACGATCCTGATGTCTCTGATCTCGGGAAGTGTCTGCTGCAGGAGGCTCACCAACTCGGGGTTCAGGTCATGCATGTACTCGTTTCTCGGAGACACCAGCTTTGATCCTGACGAGTCGTGACCTGTGACCGGAGAGAATAAAGCTCAAGAGTTTTCACTTTGCATTTTTTTTTCTTTTGTTTCGTGTCGTGACCTGTGACCGGCAGGGATTAAAATTAGGACTCTTCTTTTATTCTTTTTTACTTTGCAATTATAATCATTATTATTTGAGTCGTGACCTGGGGAATTTTTACTTTGCTTTTGCCTATTTTCTTGTTTCAAAGTGTCTGATATACAGGGAGAGAAGAGAGAAGAAAATAGGCTTCAATATATTTTGTCTTCCCTTTTCTTCTCTTCGAAATCTAGGCCATAAACACGTGTTTTGAAATCAACAATGTAGTATGGAATGAGTAAAATGTAGCGGTACTTCAGTGGACTATGCTAATTGAAAAATAGAAATATTCAGCTATTACAATGAAAATTCGACATGTTCCCAAGCATAAACTAGGAAATTAAATATTTAATAGCAGAGGCACAAAGGAAGCTTAGCATATAGAAGAACCAAAGCAGTGTTAGAAAAATCACAATCAGGCAAAACTAAAACTGCATTAAAGTTTCGAAGCAGAAAGCTAAAAACTGTACCAAGTGAAGTTCGATGTCAGTTTAGGATACACTCTCACATAGAGTAAGATGAAAGAAGAATAGTTGCTAATAAAAAGAGTCTTAGTGTTAAACAAAGCAAAGTGACGCCTAAAATTTTCTCAACGATATGAACACGAAAAAAGCAGCGTT